TCTAAAAGAGCGTAATACATTTTGTAATATGACACTTGACTCCGCCCACTAAGGGGAGGAGTCCACTAAAAGATTTTAAAGTACCATTTCCATGGTAACGCAATGTCCGATTTAAAAATGGATGAATTCTGAGGTTTTAAGCTTTATGATGATTACTAAAAGATGTGATAAGAGAAAAAAGACAACAAAAAAAAAAGAGCGCCATTGGGCCCACCTGTGGGCCGGTGGCACTAAAGGGGTTAATTCCCAAAACACACACTTCTACAGCAGACAACTGAGGATAAAACTAGCTGATCTTACCAATCTGTGGTTGAGGGGTCCAGTCACTGGAGCTGGCGTGAGACGAGCAGTCATCATCATCATCATCATCACGAAGAAGATCAGGTGACGTGAAACCATTGGGATGCACACCCTCCTCAATTAAGTCTGCATGCAAACCACACAAAAACACAATAACATAACAATAACAGCAACAATAGCAGCATAATACAACCGTATTCCACTACACTAGATGCTTATTTTGTGCGCTTTCTTTGGCTTAGTGCTTAGAATAATAGTTTTGTGCAAATTTAATTCTATACATGACTTGTTTTATATTTCTTTGAAGAAAATGTATTTTAATAAATAAACAAGGTAGTGCAATACTATGTGTTGATCAGCATTATTACAGTGACTAAATACATTTTAATAAAGCATGTAAATAAATGTAGAAAGAAAGCATGAAATATTTATGAAGTTGACAATGACAAGTCAAAGCAGTGACAGAATTGAGACATGCTCTCAAAAACTAAATACAACAATATTAATAATAACATGTAATAACTGAGTAAGTAAATAATATGTAATAAATAACAATAATAAAATAAAATAGAATTTAATTGCAATTTTAAATACAATTTAATTATAATTAAATTACATAAATATAAATAACAATAATATATTTAATAATTACATTATTAAATAATAACAATAATTATAAACACTTAAGTATAAAAACAATTAAAAACTAAATAAGTTATTAGATAATTAATACTTATAATTACAAGATTACATATTTAAATTATGTAAAATAATAAATTCCACTAATCAATAAAACCTTCAAATCTAAATAATAATAACAAAATAATATTTAATAATAATGAACACCTACATATAAAATATAAAAAACATTTAAAAACAAGTTTTTATAGTATTAAATAATTATTTGAACTCCACAGATGATAATAATAATAATTAACTGAATAATTAAATAATTAAGTAAATATTGAAATTGCATACAAACTAAATAAATAATAAAAATAAAACCATTAAAAATATTTTTACAAATAATTAAAACAAAATTTAAAAAGTTGCTATTATATTAAATAATAATAATACAGACCCCACAAATGTAACTGAGTGAACGTAGTAAACCTGACATCAGCATGAGAGAAATCAATTTTAAAATCTCCCAAAATAAGTAATAAACGAGCTAAAGCGCTAAGGACGCTCGTACCGGAGAGCTCGGGCTCGGTGAGGTGGTTGTTGTTGTTCAGTGAGGCCTGATGGGACTCGGTCCTCAGCGCCGGTTCCGGTTCCGCCTCCACCGGCTCGGTTCCGCCAGCCGCGCTGTGCTCCGGATCACCGGGCGGATCCGGGAGTCTCGGTCGCTTCGGAAGCGGCTCGGCGGCGTCGGCCCGTTTATTCTCGCCGTCCGCCATCTTCGCCAGGGAGTGAACGGAGGAGGAGCGCGAGGACCTTCCGGTAATGATGTGACGTCACGTCACGAGCAGACGGACCGGAGCGTGCAAATCAAAATGCAGAAATACATTTCTTTTCTTTCTCTTTTAAGTTCTGTTTTTTTTTTTATTATTATTTTATTTAAATTGTGTTTGAATTTGTACTTACAAAATGTGTAAATGTGAGAAATATGTCAAGAACTTGCTGTTGAATTCTGTTTAAAATTAAAATTTAAATAAAAATAGCGCTACAAAAAAATAAATAAATAAAAACATCGTTACCCAAATGCAAACTATTTTGAAATTCACTGTATAATCAAATTGAGCGGAGGTTACCTAGTAAATAATGTCTCACCAATAAAGTTAAACAAGTTTCTTTAAAGTTATTTATTTAATTTATCCAGTTTCGAGAGTTTTAAATGAGATAAAAAAAAAAAAATACATGTCTTTTGTAGTGTTAGTTACATGTAACGGAATTACGTAATTTAATTACAAAATACATGTAACTGTAATCTGTTACAGTTACTGAGGAAAGAAACTTTGTAATTAAATTAGTTACTTATGAAAATGATAATGATTACAAAGGGGGTTACATCTGAATACACACACACACGCGCGCGCGCGCGTACACACACACACACACACACACACGCGCACGCACACACACACACACACACTCTCACACGCACACACACACACGCACGCGCACACACACACACACACACACGCGCACGCACACACACACACACACACTCTCACACGCACACACACACACGCACGCGCACACACACACACACACACACGCGCACGCACACACACACACACACACTCTCACACGCACACACACACACGCACGCGCACACACACACACACACACACGCGCACGCACACACACACACACACACTCTCACACGCACACACACACACGCACGCGCACACACACACACACACACACGCGCACGCACACACACACACACACACTCTCACACGCACACACACACACGCACGCGCACACACACACACACACACACGCGCACGCACACACACACACACACACTCTCACACGCACACACACACACGCACGCGCACACACACACACACACACACGCGCACGCACACACACACACACACACTCTCACACGCACACACACACACGCACGCGCACACACACACACACACACACGCGCACGCACACACACACACACACACTCTCACACGCACACACACACACGCACGCGCACACACACACACACACACACGCATGCACACACACACACACCAATTATATATATATATATAATTCTTTTCTTTTCAGACACCAGTTGCTTGTCACATTCAAATTGGTTGTCATAGTAACGACACTAATTTGTGGAGATTCAGTGCATTGAGTTCCACAAATCTGAATGCATTATTTGTAAATTGACTGTTAAGATAAACATTTTGCACAATTTAGTATCTGTAATATCATTGTGTTGCCACTAGATGCCTGTATAGCCCTATGTAACAATCCCTAGTGGCTAAGACATTGCACATAATTTACACATAAATCACACATAAATTAATTTCATTACATTTTGATTTGGATACTATATACCATACTACTACATAATGTTTAGATATTATCAATGGCTACTTTTTTGTCATTATCTGTTTTTTGTTCAATTTTTTTGTTGTTGTTTCTTGAAACATTGATTTAAAGTGTCAGTTATTGCATTACTATTTCAGTCAAACCTATAAAACCCCTTTGTTACCCAACAATAACATAACATAATTTTGTTGCTCCAAACTACATATAAAAGCTTTATCAGTGGCATAAAAATAACCAATGAAATCTGCCACAAATATTTGGACAAATGTGCCACAAAAGTGCCACAAATACTGCCTAAACAAAATACTGATTTTGTGCACTTTATTTACTGTACCAATATTTTAAATTTGAACTTAGCTTTATTGCATGGCAAAAAATAGCGTTACCTTGCCAAAGCACTGACAGAGCCCATTGATCTAATGGTGTTGTTGAGCGCTCCAAATGCAAACTTTGCATGCAACAATCAGGGTAATACTATTTGGCTGGTACTTTTAGCGCAATTACATTTACATTTAGTCATTTAGCAGATGCTTTTATCCAAAGCGACTTACAAATGAGGACAATAGAAGCAATCAAAATCAACAAAAGAGCAACGATATACAAGTGCTGTGACAAGCTAACACAGTACACATAGCAAGGATTTATATATATGTATATATATATATAATAAATAAAAAGAAAACAAGAAGATAGAATAGAAAAAGAATAGGGAACGCTAGTGTTAGAGGCTTTTTTTAACAATAAAAATAAAACAAGTCAAAATAATAGAAAAAGAACAGAGAACGCTAATGTTAGAGGGATATTTTTTATAATAAATAAAAAGAAAACAAGATAGAATAGAAAAAGAATAGGGAACGCTAGTGTTAGAGGCTTTAAAAAAAAAAAGAAGACAAGTAGTAAGAATAGAAATAGAATAGTGAGTGCAAGTGTTAGAGGGTCTTTTTAAATAAAAAATAAAATAAAAAAAACATTTACATTTTTTTTTTTTTTTTTTATAAAAATTCAATCATTATCTGTGTTTATGATTTTTAATATACTCACATAAAAATCAAGATGCATCAAAAGTCATTTCGTTTTTACTTTTTCACAGATTTCAATCAGAAGTCTGGGCTGCGTTCAGCCCGACAAAACGGTGCAAAACGTTGTTTAAACGGAAACGGTGGTGCATTGAACTCTGTTCTGATGACGCAAAAGTTACAGCTACGGCAGCTGAGAAGGCCATTCTTTGTGTTCTTTTTGAAGAATTTTCGGAGCCTGATGAAATCGGCATAAATACGTGTTTAATACTGCAAAATACACTCGATGGTACAGTCACTGCCCTTGCCCTCCAGAATAAAAGAGAACATCCCAATCGAGTGAAGGGATTTGTGGAAACTGTGGTTCCTAATTATTGTGATCCAACATGTGCCTCGCATTTCAGGATGAAAAGACAAACATTTCAGGTGAAGGATAATCCACTTCTTACCTCCGAGACTGTGTTATGATCTATATAACCTTATTATTTTAATTGTGAGTATTAGGCTTACATTGTGCGAGCTGTCTCTTTAATACCGTGTGGTTTATATACATGCTGCTGATTGGGCTGACATTTTTGGACACACCCACCAAACAAGAGAAAACGCATCTCAAACCCCGTTGCACACCGTTTCCAGGAAACATGTTGTTCAAACCGGAAACCGTAGCTAAACGGTGCGCACTGGTTTGAGCTTGAACGTGCCCCTGGTATTTTAGTGAGTCAGAGCGTCTGCGTCATTTAAAAGCCCTTCTGCCGTAAAGCTCCAAATAGCTGCGCGCATGCGCGCTCTGTAGACTGCGGCCGACTGCCTGCAGCACCCGTTTACGGGAGTTTACGGTAGTTTGTGTTGCGCTTGAGTGCAGGAGGCATGGAGGCGATCCTGAGCTGCAGAAGGGAGGATTTGGAGGATTATTACGGGCTGCTCGGCTGCGATGAACTCTCAACGGTGAACACACAACTTACTACAACTCTTAAAATTTATTTTAGGGCTTGTGTGTTATTATTTCCGCTAGTTTATTACGGCAAAGTTGTATTATTATAATCGCAAAGGCAACATGTCTGTTCATTTCAGCTATTGTAAACAATGTGAAAACATATGATAATTGCATTAACATGCATGCGACAGAATAAGAGGTTTTTACACATCTAATGAAAACAGCAGAACAGCCTGTTGAGCCTGACATCAGTCATCATGCTGGTAATAATCATTGATTAAATAGCTGGGAATGCAAACGCTTATCCATCATTGCATGCTAATCTTTGACTCAAATGTGCATCTTCCGAAGACTGAACAGATTGTCAATGAGTTTAAAGTGAGAGCTCTGGCCTGCCATCCTGACAAACACCCAGACAACCCCAAAGCAGGTACAAACACAATCATTCATCATTTTGTGTGTGCAAAGATCTAATGTCATTAACACCACCCCTTAAAAATGATACTCTGGCAATACTTTGATATGATTATCATATTCATTAGTTGCAATGACTTTTGTCCAAAAACATTCACAGTTGTCGATTGATTTATTTTCCAGTAGGTGGTGACCCATAAAATGCCAAATGTTGGCCAATTATTGATCTGTTTAAAAATTAATTTACAAAAAAGTAATTTATATAACACATATATTACACTGCCGTTCAAAAGTTTGGGGTCAGTAAGATTTGTGTTTTTTTAAAGAAGTCTCTTCTGTTCATCAGGGCTGCATTTATTTGATCAGAAATACAGAAAAAACAGTAAAATTGTGAAATATTATTGCAATTGAAAATAATGGTTTTCTGTTTTAATATACTTTAAAATATAATTTATTTCTGTGATGCGCAGCTGTATTTTCAGCATCATTACTGCAGTCTTCAGTGTCACATGATCTTCAGAAATCATTCTAATATACTGATTTATTATCAATGATTGAAACTGTTGTGCTGCTTAATATTGTTTTGGAACCTGTGATTTTTTTTCAGGATTCTTTGATGAATAAAAAATGAAAAATAACAGCATTTATTCAAAATAGAAATCTTTTCTAACAATATACACTACCGTTCAAAAGTTTGGGGTCAGTATTTATTAATTTTTTATTTTTTTGAAAGAAATGAATGCTTTTATTCAGCAAGGACGTGTTAAATTGATAAAAAGTGATAATAAAGACTTGTATTGTTAGAAAAGATTTCTATTTCAAATAAATTCTGTTCTTTTTAACTTTTTATTCATCAAAGAATCCTGAAAAATTATCACAGGTTCCAAAAAAAAACCTTTGATAATAAATCAGCATAATAACAGCAGTGCATATATATATGTAATAAAGACAATTAATTTACAATAAAATGTCATTTTAAAATAACTAAATGATCTAAATATAATTTATTAAAAAAAGATACTAATGATCGGAGGAAAAACATGACGTTCTACAGGACCTGAGTGAGAGCAGCTAGTGATGTAAGACCAAGAATAACAAAAATGATATGTATATATATATAAAACCGTTCAAAAGTTTAAGGTCAGTACATTTTTTTTCTTTCTTTTTTTCCGAAAGAAACTAATACTTTTATTCATCAAGGACACATTCAATTGATCAAAAGCAACAGTAAAGACTTATGTTGTTAGAAAAGATTTCTATTTCAAATAAATGCTGTTCTTTTTAACTTTTTATTCATCAAAGAATCCTGAAAAATTATCACAGGTTCCAAAAAAAACCCTTTGATAATAAATCAGCATAATAACAGCAGTGCATATATATATGTAATAAAGACAATTTAATCATTTTAAAATAACTAAATGATCTAAATATAATTTATTAAAAAAATGGCAAAAAAGTAATTTAGTAATTAATGCAATAAAATAAATACAACGAAATAAAACAAATTACAAAAAAAAGATATTTAAAAAAATACTTATAATATTTAAAGATTAATTGTCAGTGGATTGTGTTGGCACGGTTTTTAAGAATGACTAAATTATTTTTTTTGTAATTTTTTATAGATTTAAATGTTGATCATATTTTTTTCTAAATTGATTAATTAAAATATTTGTTATTATGCTATATTTATTTATTTATTTTAAATTATTTCTTGGTTTGCACTAACCTAAACTAACATGATGAAACATTACAAAGACAAATAATTTTCCTTTTTTTTCCCACAATAACTTGACTGATGAATTATTCACAGTAAGACCAGGAACATTAATGCATGAATCTGTCAAATCGTTCTGAACGTCCCTTTTGCGAGTGTTTGAATCTGTTTCTCACACACTTTTCTGCAGTGGAGGACTTCCAGAAGTTACAGGAAGCTAAAGAGGTTCTCACAGATGAGAAGAAAAGAAAGAATTACGATCTCTGGCTCCGAAGTCGAATTGTAATCCCGTTCAGTGAGTGGCGAGCGCTCAGTGACTCCGTTAAAACAGTGAGTGTTAGTTAGGTGATATATTCATTACATTTATAACAATTTATAATAATTGCATTACTGTGTCCCCGAAAATAAAATTTCAGTCAATGCATTGGGCTGTGAGGACCAAGAAAGAGCCGATGCTTGAGGCTGCAAAAGATCCAGATCCAGTGAGTCTGGAGGAGAAACCGTCTGAACCGTCACTGCCATCCAGTAAGACATTGAGTTTTATAACTATTTACAATTCTTCAGCTATAAATGAGTGACTGTAATGTTTCTGTTTCACAGGTGATCATTGGCACCACAGGTTTCGCTGGGCTGGTGAAGCTCCCTCGGGCCTTTTACAGAAGTTCAGGAACTATGAAATATAAATGCATATTTTCTGTTGCTCTATATGCTTTTGTGTGTAAGTGCATGTATTCCATATATAGAGTAAAGAATCAGAACTGACCAATCATTCACTATGCTTCACCATTTCTGGCATAACATTGACTTTGTCTGTCTGTCTGTTTTGTAGGATGTTAATATTAATGTTCAGCAGTGACGCTTCGCATGCCTTAAATGTCCAATCAGAATAGTTTTCCTGAAATATGAGTAAAACATGTTTTCAAGCCTGCAGATTTGCACAAGCAGTGATTATAAAGTTTATTTTAATTCATATGTGTCATTCATAATTTACTGAACGAATATATCGCTAATTAAATCATATATATTAATAGAAAATTGCATTCAATTAATAAATGTAACTACATATAAGCCAGGGGTGTCTTAAAAATATCACTTTTTTAGTCATAATTTTATTTTTAGAAAAGAAAATGATAAAAGTGTTTATGATATGAGTTCCTTGTGCAATCAGCATTTCGAGGCATATATATATATATATATATGTTATAATGTTTCTATAGTCTGTGTGTGTTGTGCTTAATTGTCAGCCAATGTTGCATAAATAAAACAATGTATTGTGGAATAGGACAAACATTTAGAAGTCATTATTTATTATTATTTTTTTATAATAATCCTCAACCGTGTGTTCATTCATTGGTCAAAGTCCAGCGGATCTTCTCTGTGATTGGTCAGTCCCATGTGTCAATCATTCTCTCGACTTTCACTGACTCTAGTGCACACTGTAGTGATCGCCAGTGGAGCACGCACAGAAGACCTAGCGTTTAAAGTCAAGATGGCAAGTAAAGTCCTTCTGAGAGCCTGTCGCCTGACTCTGATGGGAAGACAGAATATTTTAATGAAAACAGCTCAGCGTGCGATGGCAGGTAAAGGTGAGAGACATTCAACAATCTCTATAGACAAGTTAAGCAGATCTCGCGCAAGATAACCTACTGATATCATTAATGCACGTACAAAAATAAAGCAATATGCTGTCCTGGTCTATAGTTTTGAATGAGTGACATACTCTCTTATGCATACATGCTGTCACACAACAGAAACGCATGAAACCGCTCATTAATATCTGAAGAACACATGAAAGTAGGGTTTAAATACGCTAGACATGACTTAAAACAATAACGTGGAGGCTCGTATGATATATACGCAGTGAGTTTAATCAAGGTTGTGTGTTCTTTCTTCTGTGGAGGCCGTGCTCTGGCCTTTCTTGGCACTAAACTCATGTTAATGTGCCAGTGACTCTGGATCAGGGCGCCGCTTTATTCACCCGCTGTTGGGCGACACCTAGTGGACATATTCTGTCATCGCAATGTCAAGACCAAAACATTATTATTATTTATTTTTGTTTGGAGTGTAAACATAAAAATATTTTTTGGAGTAACATGCTAGTGACACTCTAAATTAGTAACATTATTGCAGTATATACTGCTTATATAACTAATGTATAATTAGTGAATGTACATGCAAGTAGAAGTAATGATTTAGACATTTAGCAGACGCTTTTATCCAAAGCGACTTACAAACGAGGACGATGGAAGCAATCAAAATCAACACAAGAGCAATGATATACAAGTGCTATAACAAGCCTCAGTTAGCTTAATGCAGTACACGTAGCAAGTTTAAAAAAAAAAATCATACAATAAATAAAAAGAAAACAAATAGATAGAATACAAAAAGATTAGAGAAGCTAGTGTTAGTTTTTTTTGAAAGAAAACAAGCAGTTAGTAAATAAATAGAGTGCAAGTCTAAAAGGGGCAAGTTTTTATTTTTTATAAAGAATAGAATTAGAATAGAGTGCTAGAGTTAGAGGGTCAAATAAAGATGGAAGAGCTGAATTTTGAATTTTGTATTCATACACACCAGGGTTATTGTAAATAACTAAACTAAAACCATTGTTACTTGAAATAAAATGCAGAAAAACTTTTACAGCTTTTCAAAAACGGTTCATTTTCATTTAGTTTAACTTTTACTGTAATAAAATAATTAAAATAAGAATTATACCATACATATTTAAAGTAAAAAAAAAAAAAAGTAAAAAATACACAACGAAGTGACTAAAACTTTAAAATGAAAATAAATATCAAAATGTCAAAAAAAATATCAAATATCACTAAAGTTTATGTTGCACAATTCAGTTTTTCCCCACCAAAGAATAAATATTATAAAATAACACTGATATACACTGTAAAAATTAGTTTTTGAAAAAATGATAAAAAAAGATGGGAGTACTTCTTACAAGAAAATTATTTTTCAGTCTTAAAAATTCAGCTTTTTCTTTGTAATTCATTGTGAAATTTACTTTAAATTTCTGAGTGAAAATTGTTTCTGCATTATATGTTTGTTATTAATAAACATTTTTATAAAGTGTTCCTTCTAGGGTTTTTAAAATACATTTATAGTGAAAAATTTGATTTAATTTTCTAACACTTTATAAAAACTTGAATTATTCAAATAGAATGTTATTTCATAACAAAGTGTTTCTTCTATCTCTCTGTATATGTGTATTTGTACTATAACCTTTATTAATGTTATTTTTTTTTTCTTCTAAGATTCTTCTTTGATACCTTGAGGATAAATTTCAGATTATGATATAATGCCATTATAATTTCAATGAGAATATTTGACTGGGGTATAATAGGTTATATTTAAATAAAAAAATGTATATGAAGTTCTTTACTGTATTCACTTACAATTAAATGATTTATTTTTTCATGACTGTATTATTGGCAGATATTTCCCTTTTTTTTTTATCCTCCAGGGCTCTGGTTACACCTGTCCACTTTTACTCAACCATATCATTGTCCTACCATTGCTAATGTTTTCTGTTTTTCAGGTATTCCAACAGATGAAGAGCAGGCAGCGGGGCTGGAGAGACGCATCCTGCAGGCCATGAAGAAAGGCCAGGTAAAACACACAATGACATTTCTGTTTGACCGTGAGCTTTGGTGAGTGTAAAGTTTTAATTTTGAACTACCTATGATCTGTAATACAGGATCCATACAGCATATTCAAGCCAAAGGAATACACTGGAACCAGAGACGACCCTCATATCGTTCCCAGCATCAATAACAAACGACTGGTCGGCTGCCTCTGTAAGACACACGCACTCGCGCACACACACACACACACCACACTCACACACACACTCACAGACACACACACACACACACACACGCACGCACACTCACGCACACTCACTCACTCACACACACACACACGCTCACACTCACGCACACTCACAAACACACACACACTACTGCACATCTACTTGATTAGCTACAATTTAAAACATGCATAAGTAGATTAAGAATCCTTTTCAAGGAAGTCTTTCTAAAGGAAAGATGTGTGTCTGTGTGTTGTCTTGTGAAGGTGAGGAGGACAACACCGCAATTGTTTGGTTCTGGCTTCACGAGGGAAACCCTCAGCGCTGTCCGTCCTGCGGCTCGCACTACAAACTGGTCCATCACGAGCTGCCACACTGAGCTGGACCACACAAACACTAAACCTCTGCAGAAACCGCTGCCTGCCTATGCCAAACATGTACAGGAGTCAATAATAAAAACTATTTAATACAATAAAAGGGTCATGATGGTTTTTTGTTCCATTGTAATGTAAAAAAAATGCTGAAGATAAAGGTAATTGCTACTTTTTTCTCATAATGCTCAGGGAAAAAGTCAGAATTGCAAGATATAAACACTGCAGACTTTCTCGCTTTTCTTGAGTTTATATCTTGCAATTCTGTTTATATTGCTCTCTTCTGAGTTTATAGCTTCCAATTGTTTTTTTTTTGTTTCCACCAAATAAAGAAAAAAAAAAGGTAATTGTTATATCGTGATTATATATATATTCAATATATATTGAAATTTATGTCACACTAGTTTTTTTTCTCAGAATTGCGAGTTTATATTTAAGAATTCAGATGTTTTTTTTTTTCTGATAATTATGAGTTTCTATCTCATAATTGAAACTGTTTTTTGTCAAGATTGGGTTTATCTCATAATTCTTTCCCCCCTCAGAATTGCATGTTTAGATCTCATAATTTGAACTTTTTTCTCAGAATTGTGACTTTATATCTCAAATCAGACTTTCCTCAGAATATCTCATAATTATGACTTTTTTTATTCTCAGAATTGAGTTTATATCAAAATTTTGACTTTTCTCAGAGTTTTGCATTTACATCTCGCATTTCTGTTGTTTGTTTCTGCCACATAATTAAAAAAAGGGAAATTGCAGCTTTTTATCTCACAATTCTGACTTTTGCTTCATGCAACTGCGAGTTTATATCTCACAAGACTTCTTCAGATTTTTTTCCACAAAAAGTCTGAATTGTGACAATCTTATAATCGTGAGAAAAAAAGTTGCAATTATTTTTTTACTTCATGGTGGCAACAAGCTTTCATACAATCCACAACTAAAACGCATGGGGGGAAAAAAATCACAACATCAAATCTAGAAAATATTGAGTTTATTTACAATTTACAAACAGGAAAAATGTCAGCATTTGTTTGATTGCTTCCTTCAGCACCCACACAATGGCACAGCAACTAGAAGCTCACACAGTATAGACACATGTGTGAGGAGCGGATTAAGACTTGAACTTGAATCATCAAACCCACGTATTATTTGCATTGGTCATAAATTATTACTCAGAATGTTATCAGTGGCATTTTATTTTATTCTGTAATCATGCAAACTTCTTAACCCCCGTAAGACTTTGCATTGCCACTCCAATATATGAACATTATAACAGCGATGAACACATTGAGTTTTCATCAGACACGCTGATGGATTTGCTGCTATCAGATTTTGATACTTAAACTTCAAAAAAATGTAAAAGTAAAAGCTCAAAACAATCTATATGTGTGTGTTTTCAGTTAAGGCACATGATACAAAAGTGGTCTAAGATCCTGCAAGGACACACACCACAAAATCATGTGCAGAACAGAATTATTCTGCATGAATATTCATCCAGTACATCCTAAAGTGAATCTGAACAGCGTGCCAAAATGTTTTCAAAAAAGTCGCATAACATTCAGCAAATCCAACATCTTAGTATCTGTTGCATCTTACTGCTTTAGCAAATGAGATTTCTGCACATCCATGAGGTGTTAGTTTGTGAAGTCATTTAGAATAAAAATATATTCTATGTAACTACAAAAAACAACAACAAAGGTTTTGTAATGCTAACAGTATTACTATTTACACTACAATAAGATTGTATATGCTAACATTAGTTAATACTATCATTAACAATAAACAATAGCATTTAATAATCTCGGTTATTTCTACATACACTAATACATTTTAACAGTTAAGATAATAATAAACTAACAGTAGTTATTGAATTTTGAATGAATAGTGAACAGTGTATTAATAAATTAACATTTATTCATTTATATTCGTAATTATATAATTAATTTATAAATGAATAAATTCTATACAATACAGTTGTTCATTTTTAGTTTGATATGTTAACGTATAGAACCTTACTGTAGTGTGTTGCAGGTTTAAAGGAATATTTTACCCAAAAACTTTGCTGAAAATGTGCTCACTCTCAGGCCATCCAAGATTAGGATGAGTTTGTTTCTTCATCAGATTTGGAGAAATGTAGCATTGCATCCCTTGCTCTGCAGTGAATGGGTGCCGTCAGAATGAGAGTCCAAACAGCTGATAAAAACATCACAATAATCCACAAGTAATCCAGAGCACTCCAGTCCATCAGTTAACATCTGGAGAAGACAAAAGCTGAAACAAATCCAGCATTAAGACCTTTTTAACTCAAATACGAGATTATAATCCATAATAACGTTTCCTCCAGTGAAAAAAGTGTTCTGGTGTGAATCAGGAGAGAAATCTGCACAGATCAAGCAGCGTTTAAACAGCTCTAAACAAATATGTGGCTGGATCTTGATGTGAGAGACGACAGGAGATGCACTTTTTCACCAGAGGAAGCGTTATTATGAATTATGGACTCGTATTTTAGACGGAAGCAACAGTTTGAAGTTAAAAATGTCTTAATGACGGATTTGTTTCTTACAAACACACAGCTTTTTGCTTCAGAAACATTAACTGATGGACTGGAGTGGTGTGGATTGTTTTTATCAGCTGTTTGGACTCTCATTCTGACGGCACCCATTCACTGCAGAGCAAGTGATGCAATGCTACATTTCTCCAAACCTGATGAAGAAACAAACTCATCCTAATCTTGCATGACCTGAGGGTGAGCACATTTTCAGCAAATTTACAGTGCATTTTTGGATGAACTATCCCCCCCCCAAAAAAAAGAATAAAGAAAGAAAGTAAAAAAGGGGGAGAAATCTTTTAATACTAGCACACAAATATCACCCCAAACTTTGAGTAAGTAACAAAATTCTGATAAACAAATACTGTTTACACATTTCAGTCCCACTGGGACGCTGTATTTACAGATATAATTTATTTAAATTTATTTAAATTTATTTAAATTGTAACTGATGATTATTCAGATGCATAATAAATCAAACATTTCTATGCTAATTTCGAAAACAACTCAAAGGCAGCAGTCACACAATGAACTCCGCAAACGTTTCTGCAGGCTGAAGTGTGTGGTACCTGTGTGTCACATACGGTCTGGTTTTGCGCTTGCTGACGTCAGACGAGGTTGAAGCCCTGGTTGTGTTCGATGGCATGCAGCAGTTTCTCTTTGAGTGTCTCCTTATTAGTGTACTTGGGCAGATCCAGCAGGTTGAAGCATGTGTGCGCTACAGGGAAATATTGCTCTCCGCCACCGGTGGGCTGGATCACTAACGCCAGGCTCTTCATGCCCAGGATGGGGATTCGGTCGCTGCCCGTGAGGAACACTAGTGTAAGTGACAGGAAGACGGCATTAAAATACATTCACATTCTGAGCAGCATAACCTTGCAGAGCAACTTAGGTAAATATACTTAAACACCATACTTCACCCAAGTGATTAATCACAGCACATTAAGACAACCGTTTTGTATTACATGTTTTCTGCAAATGTATGTTTAAATATGCAAATGAGGCACTATCTCATTGGATATTCGCTAATTTGCATACATTTCCAGAAAAGCCACATTCAAAATTGTTCTTGTTTGATTTCGTTGACATATTAAAATTAAAGGTTTTTACGGAGGGTTTTTTCTTTTTATCACTCCATAAATCAGAAAATACTGTCAACAGTCTATAGAAGTGTGTTTTCAGGAATAAAATGTTATCAGGTGAATGATATATGAACAAACCCCTCAATAAAACCTTCAGAATATAGATAGGAATAAAACTGTTATGTTTAGTGTATGTAAGTGTTACTGAAGTGAAGGAAAAAACTCATTTTGAGAAAACAGTCTTTAAAGATATGTATTGTAATCAAAATCTACAGACACAAATGTGACCCTGGACCACAAAACCAGTCGTAAGGGTCCATTTTTTGAAATTGAGATGTATACATCATCTGAATAAATACGCTTTCCATTGATGTATGGTTTGTTAGGATCGGACAATATTTGGCCGAGATACAACTATTTGAAAATCTGGAATCTGAGGGTGCAAAAAAATCTAAATATTGAGAAAATCATCTTTAAAGTTGTCCAAATGAAGTTCTTAGCAATGCATATTACTAATCAAAAATTAAGTTTTGATACATTTACAGTAGGAAATTTACAAAATATCTTCATGGAACATGATGTTTACTTAATATCCTAATGATTTCTGGCTTAAAAGAAAAATCGATAATTTTGACCCATACAATGTATTTTTGTCTATTGCTACAAATATACCCCAGCGACTTAAGACTGGTTTTGTGCTCCAGGGACACAAATAGATAAACTGCAATAATAAAATCAGGTGAACAAATATGAACAAACCTCTCTGTAAACATTTCAGAATATAGATATGAATAAAACTGTAAAGTTTGTAGTAAGTGTTACTGAAGTGGAGAAAAAAAAGCTTATTTTGAGAAAATGGCCAATAAAGACATGTATTGTAATCAAAATCTAAAGTGCAATAATAAAACCAGGTGAATGATATATGAACAAACTGTTCTGTAAAACCTTCAGAATACAGATGGGAATAAAACTAAAGTCTGGTACATGTACGTGCTGCTGAAGTGCACCAAACTCACGGCCTTTAAACATGCAGTACATATTGCAAATATATAAAGTGTAATAAAATAAACACTTAAATGTGTATTTTGGATGTTTTCTCTCCACTAGTCTGAAAGAAAACATGTTACAAAACCAGTGCATGAAAACACAGTGGTTTTGCCTGTAGTGCAAGAACTATGAAAAGAGTGACAAACGTACAAATCTGAGGTCCTGTTCAGAGCAGATGTATGGTGTGTGTGGGACACTGTGTAAATCTGAACTCAAAGATGATTCACTTACGCAGGAACTGTTTCTTCTTCTCCAAAGGCAGCTCGTGAAACACTTCCCAGAATATCTTGATGGTGGGGTGATCCGCCCAGTACTCGCCCTTATATTCTGTGCTCTGAGAATCAATACAGTCATGCAGAACATTTACATCGTCAACAAACTACAGCAGCAGCAAAACATTTCCAAACACATACTGTCGGTTTTCTGCAGTCTGAGCAAATGACTCTATCAGCTAGTGCAATAATTTTACCTTCTCTAATTCCTTCCAGTCATAATTGGTGTTTCCTATGACCATGGCCTGCAGTTCACTGGGCTGGAAAAGCTCTAGAACTTTCCCTCCACACACTTTGTGAAATCCAGCATAGAAAGCGCTGAACTGAGGAGCCACGGAGGTGTTAAATTTATAAACGACATAGGCGTTGACGAACTCCTGCCTGGATAGGTTGAATACGTGACAAAAACCATTTAAGTCACAAATGCTGTGCTCAACTGGAATTTATATGTGAACTCAAGTCAGTTAGTATTAAACAACAGTTGTGGTGAGTGCATGTTAATATTACAGTGCATATATTACCTGTTGGACTTGTTGACACTGATGTCCGTCCCATTGGGAACCAGCTCCAATACCTCCGTGGTGCCAAAAATTTCCTCAGTGATCTGCGATCATAAAATAAAACTGACTCTATATGCATGTTTTTTGTTTTTTAATGAATCACGCTTTTAAAAACGGACATCATGCACAAATATCTTGTTCTTACTGTGAAATTCAGGCAAAACGTTTCTTCCAAATCATCCTCCGTATAATCCAGCAGCTGCTGAAGACTCCTGAAGACCCACAGACAGAGAAAACCATAGATTGAGGATCACATCTAATCTAAAAACATCACTCTCTTACTAAAACGGGTTGCATCACCTTTTCCAAGATTATTACTTAACCCTATAAAGCCTACTGTATAATATTTGATACGCACATTCACGCAAGGCCTCTACTACATGTCTTCTGATGCGAGTATCAAATATGATCATCAGGCTTTTGAGGAGCGTTTATTTGTTCATCTCTCAATCACCATTGGATTGCATTGCATTGTACGTTTTGATCATAAACTAAGCATCTAAATCTCATCTTACTAAGACATATTATTGGAGATATAGAGTGACGACTGATATTTATATAATTTTATGTCAGTATCTGCTGTACTGTTATAAAGATCTCATTGATTTACGTTTCACGCATCAGAATTTAATTGTACTTTTTGGCCATATATAAATATCAGCATCTGCACCAAACTACATTTTTTGCTCAGTTTGGTTCTCTGAATAAAAATGAGCAGTTTTTCCTCTATATTCTCACTATATCATACTATATGAGCCATAAAAGTCTGATGTATCACATGGTACTCAAAAAAAAATATATGTAGATTTTTCTTTAAAATTTGGTCTAAAGGTTCAACAAGCTATTCCATTAAAACATATATTTTTCTGACTATTATTTCATATGTCAGGCTTTACATTTACACAACACAGAATAGGACACATGAATGTGGATTGTGCGTATGTCCAAATCATTCATCTGTCTGACATCAGAAGTTTATGGAAAGTTTTAGGTCACAGTGTGCTTTCATAGTACATCAAACATCTCAAACAGTCATCTCATCGATCGACTGAAACAAACCCACCTCCCTACGTCAGGCATGAGTTCTTTCAGGTCCTCTAGAGTGGGAGTTTTCTTCAGGAGTTTCTTGTACAGCGCTAGTGGGAAGTTCAGCTCCACTATAGTGAGGTTATAGATGGCCAATCCGCAGACCACACCGATCAGATGGAACAAGTCAATGTCTTCAAATGTCTGCAGCAAACCATATCTGACATGTGTGAGATTGACATTTCCTCATCTTACATTACAGAAACAACATCAGTAGCATATCTGATATAACTTGTGAGTAAGGTATGAATGAAGAAGAGTTGGTTTTGTTTTGTACATATTTCTTATGTATACTTGTGAGCTTTTGAATGTTGATTCTTCTAATCATGTTTTTGATCTTGTTTTTGCTAATCACTGTCTTGTTTCCTTATGTACTTTAAAGTTAAAAAAATTGGACATGCTTTTTTGATTGCTAAAATTTAATTTCATCATTAAAACCAGAAAAATGAAAAAAGAAAAAAAGAATCCAGAAAATGTTAAACTGAAAAAATAAACAGATTTCATAGGGCCCTAAAAGACTTCAGAATTTTTTTCTTGAAAGACATGTGCGTGGGCATTAGTGCTATTTTACTGTACCTTGTGAGTGAACCAGATGAGCCTGGACTCCTCGTAGTATCTGAACATCCCATATTTAGGGTCCAAAAGTTCTTTCATGATGAGCAGGAAGAACTCTTTTCTCACGCCGCCAGCGTCCACGGCCTCCTCTCCCACAACGATCACCTGCAAAATAATACAATTAAAAACCACAGAAGCAGCACTGAAGACGCATAGATTGAGACTAACTCATTTACCTTGAGCGGCTTCTTGTAATCAACGTTTTTGGACTTCCTCAGCACCTCCATGGAGTCTCCGACCACATTTTCTCGGCGTACGATGAGGATGAGGCAGGGGTTTACTGACTCCACTCCTCCACCGGACAGGAACAGAGAGTGTAAGTTCTGTCTCTGAGCATGATCCACCGCCATCTGATCACAAACAGCACTGTCAGCTCACTGCGGTAAAACATGATGTCAAATCTTGAGATGAGACCGATCACTCTCACCTGCATCTGGATCACAGCATCAGTCTGAAGCAGTGCTGTCTTCGCCTGAGCGTCAAAAACAAATGGGTATTTGCACATGGTCACCTGAGAGTCCATGACCTTTACAAAACAGACAAAGAGAGAGAGGAAAACGTTACTTTGACTGTGAATTTTGACTACCCTATTTACTGGTATTTAAGTTGCTTTTTTTTTTTTTAAATCATCTGAAACGTGTTGCAACTGATATAATACAATAAACAGCAAGCACACAAACATGTGCAAATTGCAATCGGTTCATCATGTCACTAAAACGCATTTAGCCAAACAGAAGCAAACATATTGAAGTACATAGCCGTGTTTACAGAATTAATAATAATTTAACAACCAAATATTACATCGCCAATATAAAAACATTTGAATTTGTGCCGAGATATGTGAACCCAAGTTTATTTGTATAGCGCATTTCCCACATGCCACTCATAATGAATTCCACTAAAATTTTGCTTTATTTATACTTATATTTTTCATTCTTGTTCTTTTCTGAATACAGTTAAATTTAAAGGATTTATTGTAGAAGGAGGGGAACTAAAATACATGTTACTTATATACAGGTGCAACTTAACTATGTTTTTTATCTCTCAACAATGCAACAATACAGTTTGTATTCAGGTGTGAGTTATTTTCTGGAAAATACGGTGATTAACAGATTTAAGGTGGCAGAAAAGTGTCATTTTAAAACCACTAGTGGCATCAAACAGAACAACCAAAATAATAGTAAGTTTCAAACATGAGCCCATTCAGTTTGGTGCTGTTAGTAAGCAAAGGAATTACACACTTCACATTTTAGTTACTATATAAGATCATAAAATTCAGAAGTGTATAATTACTTTGAACAATGCAGAAAACTCACCACAGAGAACATCTGCTGCTGAAACCAGGTGACATAATCATTCCTGATGTCAATGAGTTCATCCAGTTCATGAATATAAAACTTGTCATACTGGATGATCTGGCCAGCACGCTCATTAACCTGCAGCACGATAATGAGAATAAGAGCAAAAAATAAAATTTCTTCTGCATTTCTCCTCTTCTCTAGCCTGCTTCTGAATCTAGTGGCCTAATGAAGCTGCAATTGTGCATTATGACTATCGTTGGCTCTTTTACAAATAGCTTTGGATAAAAGCATCTGGCTAAATGCCTAAATGTACAGTAATATTACAGAATTTCCTATTTCAGAATCAAAAGACAGGATGTGACCCAATTCACAAATTTATACGGTACACACTAAAATTATTCATGTTTCTGGTGAATGTAAAGTACATCACCAGATAATGTAGTAAATTATTGCATATATTTCTAAATGTACTATGATTTGGGACACACTAATTCTAATTTTAGCATTTAGGACATATGTTATGCAAATTGGGACGTGGCCAATGTCTACTATCACTAACTGTTGTGCTCACCGAGTGGAGGATCTCCAGGAATTTGAGTGAGGTGTGCAGGAAGCAGGTGAAGATCCTCTGGTCAGAAAGAGGAATTCCCAGTTTCTGCATCCGCAGTAGATACACCACCACCTCCTTATAGAGCTCCACCAGCCTCTGGAAGACCGCTGGCTCAAACTTTGACCACCAGTTTCCTTAATAAGTGTAGTTGTGACAAATGAAATACTTCGGAAATACCTACCAATGTGCAGAAGTTGACCATTGCCTATTGTACACTATTAGTGCACTACACATGGTAAATGTGACCATTGTGTACATATATGCAGTTGCAAACTTGTTTGTTTTTTTACTTCAATAAACAAAACCTAGAATGTAAAGGTCCAACTGGTCTGGAAATTTTCCTAGGCAAGAGAAGAAGTCTTTCAAAGAAGTTTGTGAAGTACATTTGTGGTTCCATTAATGAAGGGACAGTCTAAAAATGCTCCACGTTATATACAGACTTTCTGTACACAGCTACTGAATAATACAGAATATGTTTGGTAAAATACCAAATGCCAAGAAATTCTTTTTGTTAAACATTCACATATGAACGTTTGTCATCCTGTTATATTTATATAAATTGAGCAGTAAAAATATTTGTTGACACATTAATATTTGTTAAGTGCTGATTTTGGCCAACCGAAATATTGTTCGGTGCTGTACAATAGCCATAATGAAGCCTAACAAACAAAACTCCTGTCATAGAAGACGGGACGTACCGAGCACTTTGATGGGGGCGTCCTTCAGGCTTACGACGGCCTTGGCGAAGGGAATAGTGAGGGTGGTGTAGTTGTTGGGGTTGCTGAGGAGCGGACACTCGGGCAGCGTGAGGTAGAGTCTCAGAGCCTCGATGTCTGGAGGAGAACTGCTCAATCTGGGGAGGAGATGCTTCTCTATACTAGCAGCCACCTGGATTAGGATTAACCCGTGCATTGGTAACAACAGTAATGATGGGCACTTAGGAATAGTTCACCCAAAAATGAAAGTTTGCTGAATGAGTCAGGTCATGCAAGATGAGCTTGTTTTTTCATCAGATTTGGAGAAATGTAGCATTGCATCACTTGCTCAGCAATGGATCCTCTGCCGTCAGAATGAGAGTCCAAAAAGCTGATAAAAACATCACAATAATCCACAAGTAATCCACACCACTCCAGTCCATTTCTCCAAATCTGATGAAGAATCAAACTCACCCTAATCTTGGATGACCCGAGTACATTTTCAGCAAATTTTCATTTTTGGGCGAACTACTCTTTAGTTCTACTCTTTAAACTTAACTACGTTAAGTTGACGTACGTCTTCTGAATGCCATAAAATGACATAAACAAGTGACTCACAATTTGTGAGATTTGTGGGTGATCGGACTGGATGAGTCTGTGGTAGAGCAGGCGAGCCATGTTGATGTCCACACCTGAGCACTTACTGTTAGTGTTGTAGTGATCTGGATTACTGCAAAACAAAACACTCTCATTTGAGAAATGATCTTCAGCTATTTATAAGGATTACGCAGAGCAATATTTTGTATTGAATGCATAATGGTTTAGTTACCTTCCAGACAGAAAGCTTCCGTTGAGACAACTCGCTGAAGAGAACACAAGATCAATCTCACTACAAGAGACACCAAACACACATCATCAGTATGATGGACTGCTTTATGAAGTTCTTAGATTTGAATTCAGGTTACATAGTCACACTTTATTAGATCAGACTGAGTTTCTTCTACACGACTTAAAGGGATAGTTCACCCAAAAATAAAAATTCTACCATTAATTACTCACCCTCATGTTGTTCCAAACCCCTAAGACTTTTGTTAATTATGTTCATTCATGAACACAATTGAAGATATTTTAAGTGAAATCCGAGAGGTTTTTGTCCCTCTATTGACAGCCTAAGTAACTTTCACTTTGAAGGCCCAGAAAGGTAGTAAAAACATCATGGAAGTAGTCCATGCTACTCCAGTGGTTCAACTGTAATTTTTTGAAGTGACAGGAATGCTTTTTGTGTGCCAAAAAAATAAAAAAATAACAACTATATTTAACATTTTCTTCACTTCCACTTCAATCTCCAATGCACGTTCACGAGAGCTGCTTCTTCTTCTCCAGTCCTCGAGAGCACCACGATTCATGCGTGTTGTGTTGACGCGAGAGAGCGACTCTTACGATACAGCCTGTACCAGAAACACTGTACTGTTTGCAAGCAGAGTATGTGGTGCTTTCATTTAAAATATCTTTAATTGTGTCCTGAGGATGAATGAAAGTCTTAGGGGATTGGAACAACATGAAAGTGAGTAATTAATGACAGAATTTTCATTTTTGGGTGAACTATCCCTTTAATGTAATAATGAATGAAAAGTATGTAAAAGCAGTACTTGGTGATTTCTGGTGATAGTCTCCCATGGCCATGATTGAGCCATTTCTGGATGAGGTCATCGCTTAGAGTGTATATCTGTCCATCAAGTCTGGTTGTCCTCAGATCAACTGGAGGGCTGTCGTCCTACAGCAATACAGCTGAGTCATTTAAATGGGAACGTCAGCGAACAGCTAATCGCTACAAAGAGAACTGTACAAACTAGGGACGTGCCCGAATAGTGAATCTGAATACGGAAAGGCACAGAAATTGAATAACGTGTTCTATGGAGCCATTAAAGGTACATGGTTAGCCGCTTGCTAGCGGTAGTCTGTTACATTACAGTACATAAAATATAAATTACCACATAAACAGAGTAAAGAAAGATGACTGACAGGACAATGGTGAATGATTTACAGATCCTGAGCACCACTGACAAAAATCTAATCTTGTGAAATATGTGGTAAGTACTGCTGCTCCGTAGTATACACAGAGTACGTGTGATCGTGAATCTCGAAAGTGAAAGTAAAAAGCGAGCGCACATTCAAAAGCGATTTCAATGCCCCACATATTAATAGCGACTTCCTGATGCCCGCAGTTTATATACAGTATAATTACCCAACGATATACTTGCCAGAGAATTTTTCCTCCCATCTCGTATTTATTCCCTTTAGGGCTTCTGTAGAACACGTTATTCGTTTTCTGTGCCTTTCCGAATTTGGATTCACTATTCGAGCACATCCCTAGTACAAACTAACACATACTAAACATTTTTGAAATACATTTCCCAGTTTTGGATGCTGATGTGTTATGTTACCAAGTTAAACAGAATTTGGGCTGAATGGAAATAATAACACATCCAGATAAATACAGTATCTGTGGATTGTTCTTTTACCATATAATACCATAAAACAAATACAAACTAGACAGTTGTTCCTCTTTCATTCTAGTAGCGTCACAGAAATATTAGTGTTAATATAAGGATCTCACTGGATATTGTTAAGCAGTTGTGTAATGTTCAAACTTTGGTCCTTCATTCACTGCAAATATGATTTTAAGGCAAAATGAAATTAAAGCTAACCTTATTTTCTTTCTAATCAAACGTTCCTGGTGTTACTGCACACAACACATCAGTACATACTGCTCTAGAAAAGCTATTTTTCATACTGTGCCATCTAAATGTAACAATTTTCTGAGGTAACAAAGGCTGTGTTGGTGGGGAAATAATATTAACCAATACTACAGCTTTATTCATAGCATTTTTCATCTAAACAAATCATGATAGATCAAGCCTTGTCCGTATATTTTTTCTCATTGTGTAAAAATGATATACAATAATTATAACAGTAAAAATATAATAATTAGAATAATTAATATATAGATTCCTCTGGCAGCCTTTAGCTTGACCTTTGACCTCTGCTCCTCATACCTGAGATAAAGCGTAGTGAGCGAAGCTCTGGTCTCCTCCAGCGTAGATCCTCTTCACACAGTAACTCTGTTCCGCCTCTGAAATGGACAACCCAGTCAAATCTGAAACATTGAAACATGGGTTTTTCTTGGGTGAGTCTCAATCAGCTCCATGAATGAGTATACTGATTCACAGTATACACACTGGGGCACTGATGAGTGAACAAAAAACTCATGTACAATACTAAAGTGCAACTCAACTCTACGTAATCTAGAGTTACATTTGTGCAGAAGAGTAGGGCTGGGCGATATGGTCAAAAAATCATCTCTGTATTTTCTGGCTAAATTGCGATATATGGTATATATATCGGCATTTTCTATGTTTTTCTATTTGGATAAAAAAAAAAAACTATTTATGTATTTACATTCTGCCCAATGTTGTCCAATGAAACAATGTACATATCAAAGGCTATGAAAACAAATAAAGTGAATGTAACCATGAAGGCAATGCTACACATTATGTGCGAAAAAGGGTTAAAATGACATTACATTCTAACATCGTAACATTACAATCTAAAAACAAAAATAATGCTTTTTAAAGCAACAGTTAAATTCACTAAACTAAAAATGAAAATAAATAAAAACAAAAGCACAGACTAATTGCATTATATTTTGCTTACCCCTTTTCAACAGTCACTTCACAGTTACTGCTATCATAAAATACACTTACTTGTAGGTTTAAAATCATAAATATGGCACTTGTATTATTCAACAACAAATATTTTAACTAAATGTATATTTTAGTCAGAATTATTGAGCATGCGCGGCGGCATTCGTTCGCTCAAGTCTGTGAAGTTTAGCGGAGACTCGCATGCAGAAGAATCATGCACTCCTGACAGCAAATTGGAAATATTTCCATGACTTTCTAACACTTACAGATACATACCTGTGAAATGTAAGTTATGCACTGAAGAATTAAACAGTGCAAGTAGCCTATCTGTCAGCACATGTATCTGTCAGAGCGTCTGACGGGGCAAACCGCTTTAAACTATACATGTTAACTATATCTTATGAGTTAATTTTAAAGCCCTTAATATAAGCATGTCTCATGTTCAGGACTGGATTATGCACTTTCCCCGCAGCAGCTCACTCTGTGTCTTCTGCTATTTTTCAGATGGGCTCGTATCAAACTCTATATAAATGGTATTGCCTCATTCCATATTGTTTATAAATAATATATCGATATAACGTACAAACTCGATATACTGTCTAGCCCTAGAGAAGAGTTATTTGATTTACTGACTTTAACATTCATAAATTGTATTACATGCATGGCCATCAGCATAATGATCAAGTCAATACAATGCACACTTTTGAGAAATACTGAGAAGGACAGCTGTCAAAGATATTAATTCTGTTGAAAGACGTCATGTACACAAAGTCAACCCACCTACATCCATAGGCACAGGATCAGTATGGGCTTGCCAGCAGCCCTTCACAGGGGCGGGACTTATCCTATTGTAGGTCGAGCGGGTTCCTAGCTGTCCGTTACCGCCGAGACCAAATGAGTCAATCTTTCCTGATGAAGGGATGAACGCCAAAGTGTGCTGCCTTACATGCAGGTGAAAATGAAAGCAATTCATGTTCTTCATGATAAGAAATACAAGACTCTTGGAAGTAGTCTCAAGCTTTCATACAGAAAAACTAAGACAGACATAAAATGAAACAATGATTATGGACTGTTTGATACTTACCTACCACAAGCTATCTGTGCAACCACATTCCCCATGAGTTCAAACACCTTCCTGGGGTTCACCTCATGGTTTGTGGTGTTGTGTCCCAGCTGACCGTAACCACCCGCTCCAAATGTAAAAACACCTCCCTCCTACAAAAACAAAGTTACAAATTACTAATCATGTAATTTTCTGCCTGTGCAACTAAATTTTGTGAGCGGTCGCACTGGTGCAACCACCAAAAGAGCTGCTATTTCTGTTGCATATGTGACCCTGGAGCACAAAACCAGTCTTAAGTCGCTGGGGTATATTTGTTGCAATAACCAAAAACACATTGTATGGGTCAAAATTATTGATTTTTCTTTTATGCCAAAAATCATTATGATATTAAGTTAAGATCATGTTCCATGAAGATATTTTGTAAATTTCCTACTGTAAATATAACAAAAATGTATTATCATTAGTAATATGCATTGCTAAGGACTTCATTCTGACAACTTTAAAGGGGTCATATGATGCGATTTCTATTTTTCCTTTTCTTTAGTGTGTTATGTAGCTATTTGTGCATGTATAAGATCTGCAGAGTTACAAATCTCAAAGTCTCCCACAAAAGGATTGATTCTATCTAAAAGAGAAGGCTGATCCAGACCGGGCTAAAACGCCTCATTCAAACACGCCCCCACATGTCTACGTC